GACACTGTCTCCAGGGTGCACACAAGGTAAGGACAGTTCTTGGGCACAGATTGATAAGGTGCTTTACTGAACTCATCCTAATAAGCTTCACATATTCAAAAGGACCACAGATGGAGACAGTGTAGCTTGGTGGTGACAAGCAGGGACTCAGGCTTTACGTCCCACTAGAGACTTGGTTCTGTCTGTTCTGTGGGTTGTATGCTATCCTCCATCTCCAGGATCCAGAAGTTGGCATCCTCACTCCAGTGCCTCAGACAAGGTCTTCAAAGTGCTGATCACGTTTCAGTAAGGTCCCTGGGGTGGGTCTTAATCCGATATGACTGGTTTTCCTTTAAAAGGAGGAAGCTCAGACCCAGGCTCTCCTATGAGGAGATGACCATGTGAGAATTAAGGGAGATGTTATAATAATATGTCTACCAACTGAGCCCTGTGTGAGTGTTTGTGAGCTTGTGTATGTGTGTTTGTGAGTTTGGTGTGTGTGTGTGTGTGTGTGTGTGTGTGTGTGTGTGTGTGTGTGTGTGTGTGGTTTGACACGGTGTTTTCTGTATCACAGCCTAGCCTCAAGCTCACCATACAGCTGAGTTTGATCTTGACCTCCATCTCGCAAGCACTAGGACAACAGGCATCTGCCACCACACCTGGCCTGAGCTTAGACTCTTCCGCCTCCAACTGTAAGAGAAAAAGTTGATGGCAGTTTCTTCAAGTGTTTGTGGCATAGTGAGATGACTGGTCCCCAAGCATCTTGCTGTGCGGCTCCCTGCCTCTCCTGACCTTGCCCATTCCTGGTGGGTGACAATGACAGTGTCTAACATAAGAGGCTGTTAAGATTCACGAAAAGAATTCCTTTGTAGACTCTGTAGACTCAGTTCATATGGCTTAGTCGGCAAAGTACTTGCCCTACAGGCATGAGGACCCATGTCAAAAACCTGGGCATGGTGGCATGTGCTTGTACCTCAGTGCTGGGGAGGCAGAGACAGGTAGATCTCTGAGGTTTGCCGCTAGATTACCTTACTTAGTGAGCTCAAGGCCAAGGCCAATGATAGACCTCTTCTTTATAAAATAAGCTACATGGCTCTTGAGGAACACTGAGATTGACTGCTGGTATGCGCACACACACACACACACACACACACACACACACACACACACGAATGATGATGATGATGATGATAAAGAACCCATATGAGCAATTGTTGCAAATAGAAGTTAATACAAAGAAAGAGGCCCATAAATATTTGTTAAATGAAAATTTTAAAGCCAACATCCACATGAGTCAGTCTATGAATTATTCGTGACTTTTGACTCTCCAGCCACATGGCAGTAGAGGAGAAATAAGCAATCCTTTAAAAAGCCAAAATGTCATTACTTATCCCAAGCCCTGCCTGAACTGTTCTAATTGTATCTAAATTGTTTCCTTCGTTCCTCTCTCAACAGTGTGATGTGGCAGTGCCCAGGGCCTTTAGCTCTCTAATCAATTATTAATCTGGGAGTTAATAATTCATGTTAATTGGTGCTATAAGCACTTTCTCTGGCAAATGTGAGCAAAGGTCACAACTTTTAACAGCAAAGGCGAAACATTCTCCAAGTTTCTTTTTCCATGGCCTATCGTGGAAATACTAAGATACAGAAGACAAAATTTAACCAGAGCCGGGGAAGCAAGATAACTCCACAGCTGAAAGACTAGATGTCCCCTCTCACTCGGGGACCAGCTCAGTTCCACAACCTGCTGGACGAGGAGAGGTCTCCAGGGACCGGGACTTCAGCCCCATGGGAGCTCTCCCTGCACAGACACGCTCCCTCATCCAGGTTTGTGGACCTCTGACAAGATGGAGAATACAATAATATAAGCCAAAGAGCTGGATCCTTGTGTATCAAGAAAGTTCGGTCTTCAGAAAATAAAAGGAGGCATTTGAGAGACTAGCAAATCTCGGGGTTTTCCTGAAGGATGCCTTTCCTAAATTGTAAGACCAGACAAAACGCTCCATACTGGGATAGCCATGGAAGGAAAACCCACCACCACTGAGCACTTTGGATTCCCCAAATGTACGTATGCTCTCTGTTTCTTTTCTCGGAAGGTAATTTCTCATTGCCACAGAAGGCAAACAATAAATATCTTCCTGTTTCAGCCACCCTGGATTCCCTGCGCAGCCCACTCCTTTGCCCTGGGCCTGCGAGGCAGCCACACAGGCCCGGCACTGTGGGTGCTTGATCCCTTTGAGCCTCGATAATTGTTTGAAAGGTTCATGTCAAGCCCCAGACTGGTGTGATGAAATAGCTCATTCCCATTTGGAGAATAAAACTATTCCTGGTAGCTTTTTACAGCCTTGATTAAAAGATAGACGTGAACTATGCGGAGAGTGAGTTGCAGACTTGGGATAAGGCTGAAATAGAAACCACAGCTTTGAGAGCGCCAGGGCCAGGAGGCCAAGCCTCCAACTCTTGTTTTTCTAAGGGAACTGTGAGTAACATATGGTTCTCATTGCACCCCCTTTTGGCCATTTACATATCGGGGGGCTGTGTATTTGGCAATAGGTCCTATTTTTAGGAGTCCTTGAAAACCTGCCCTTTGAAACTGTTTTCGTTCTGGCGCAGATGTATGTCTTAAGCAGTATGAAAACACAAAGCTAAGAACGGAAAAGAGAAGCATGTGTACCGAAATGGATGGGTTTTGCAGCCCGACGTCGCACAATAAGAAAGCAATCTTTCAGTTGCGACTTTAAAAATGGATCCTTGCCCGAATTTCCTGGCTATTTCCTCCTAAATGACTGTTTCTTTACAGAACTAAACTAATAGAAAGAGACAGGTTGTCCCTGTGCCAGGGCTGAACAAGCAGAGTAGGACAGAGGCTGTTTTTAGGGAAGGAATGTAGCAAGATAATGCCTGTTCTGTCTCCTGCTGCCTCTTGGGCAGAGGCCAGAGAAGATACTGCTTGCCCACTGCGTGCCTGATGCATGCTCACTGCATGCCCACTGCAAACCTGCTGCATGGTTGCGGGCACCTCCTCCCCACCTGGCTAGACCTGAGTACCACAGTTCTATTATTTGCAATCAGTAACAAAGATTCATCCTGTGTCAATCATACAGCACGGAGAGTCTTTGTCACTCACTGTAATTAATAGCCTTCACCTCACATGGGAAGGTGGGGAAGGATGGTGTCTGTACATGACTCGGGTGTCTTCAGAGGAGGCTTCATGGGTCCTTGTGCCTTCTGCCACAGTAAGATGCCAGAACTCCAGCTGCAGTGGGAAAGGGGTAAGCAGAGTGTGTTTGGTGGGGCTGGGCAGACAGTGAGTCTTGCCAAGCAAGCCAGAGGATCTGAGTTCTGTCCCTGGAACCCACATAGAAAACATGTATGTGATCCAAACACTGGAGAAGTAGAAATAGGCAGATTCTTGGGGTCACTGGCCAGACACATTAGCAAGCCCCAGGCCAGTGTAAGACCCTGTTTCCAAAAACAGGACAGAGCCTGAGGAACTGTACCCAACACTGACCTCTGGCCTCCACATGCACACACATACACATGTGCACACACATACACACACACACACTTATACACACATATACCTCTACACACACTAATACGCACATGTGAACACACGTGCACTGAGTGAGAGACCGCATGCTCTGCAAGGGCCTACTTCAGACTGTGAATTCACTCAGGAACCTATCAGGGAACGTTAATAGGCTCAGACTTCAAAAAGGCAGCACTAAAAACAGGCTTGAAGGTCCAGGGAAGGGGGGCCGCTTACCGTGGGCTAGACCCCCCATACCAATTAACAATTAAGACAGCCCCCCGCCCCCACACAGACACAGACATACCCACAGGCCAGCCTGAGCTAAGCAACCCCTCACTGAGATTTCCTTCTCAGGCAACTATAGCCTGCGTCACCTTTACAGTTAAAGCCAACTTGGGTACTGTGCTTTGTGACAAATATCATTTTATTAAACAGAATTCACTGTGCACTTGAAAATAAAAGCTTTGCCAACACAACTTTAATTCCTGCTCTTGGCACCCCCAAAATTTAGTTGACGTATTTCTAAGTGTTTGAGTGAATGTCTGCATGACCCCTACCCCAAACTCTTTCTCACATTGTGCAACTGATTAGTCTGTGTGTGTGCAGCTCTCTGTGTGTACTCATGGACATGCACATATGTGTGCAGGTGTGTATGCACATGGGAACAGGTATGTGGAGGCCAGGCATTGATGTTGGGAGTCTTCTCTGACCTTGATATACCTTATTCTTTGAGGCAGGGTCTCTCCATTGAACCCAGAGCTAATCATTATAGTTGGTCTAGCTAACCAGCTTGCTCTGAGGAGTCCCTGTCTCTTCTGTCTAGGCTCTGGAATCACAGGCAGGCTACCACACGTCCTCACCAGGCATTGACACAAGTTCTGGGCATCCCAACTAAAGCCCCCGGGCTTGAATGGCAAACATTTGTTCCACATAGTCATCTCTCTCTCCAGACCACACCACTGATTAATCTTGAGGGAGAAAATTAATGTAGATTCTTATAATCTTTTTTTTTTTTTTTTTTTTGGTTTTTCGAGACAGGGTTTCTCTGTGTAGCTTTGCGCCTTTCCTGGAACTTGCTTTGGAGACAGAGGCTGTCCTCGAACTCACAGAGATCCGCCTGCCTCTGCCTCCCGAGTGCTGGGATTAAAGGCGTGCGCCACCACCGCCCGGCTGATTCTTATAATTTTAAGTGGAACACACACACGCACACGCACATGAGTGCACGTGACTACCTAAGGCCAAATTCTTCGCCTTTTCTCTGCAGGGGAGCCATGCAAACGTGAGAACCATCTTAGGTCCCTCACATCATTTGGGTCACAGCAGACTCTGCTGAAGGGTTACATGAAATCACCCTGGCCATTTCACTGTCCCTATCATTTCCTCTCCAATGCCACACTTGAATGGCATCACACGGCATTTTCTCTCCTCTAATCTGCTGTGAATGATGCCTTTTACCAGAGCTCCATGAGTTAAAATCCTTCATTACCTCTCCACTGCCTGCACGGTAAACCTGTGCTGAGGACTGGGCTGGACAGGTGGATTTGGGACAACCCAGAGTCTCGGTTCCTGGTGCTCTTGTTTTTCCTGCTCTCTGCCCAAATACATACACTGAAGGCTGGGGCTGTTTTCCAGTAGATTCCATACAACAGAGTTATTCAGATAACGACAGAAGCTGAATTACACTCCCAAAGTAGCACATGATGTTGTCGAAGGTCTAGCCTGGGCTGCATTTTCATGAGTCAACACTGGTGGTGTCCTGATGGGAAGTCTTCCCTGCCGACTAGACAGGATTCAGAGTCACCATGAAACACGTCTCTGGGTGTGTCTGTAACGTGTCTTCTGAAAGGTTTAAGTGAACAGGGAATGTCCACCCTGGATGTGGGCACACAAAGGAGACGGTGAGCTGGGCAGCCGCCCTCCGCTCCATCTGCCCCTGACTGCAGCACACTGCGCTGTGGGCAGCACCGTGTGTTCCTGCCGCCTTGCCTTCCCCATTGTGACCGACCGTACCTCAGACCGCAAGCCAGGATAACCCCTTCCTGCCTCAGCTGCTGTAGTCAGGTGTCTGGTCGCAGCAACAGGAAAGTAGCTGACACAACCCGACTGTGTACTGACCGCCAAACTCCCCAGCCTCTGCACGGTGCTCTAACAGGAAGCTCGTTCCAACATCTCAGCCACATGCCTTCCTGTTACTCATGGGGACGGAGGGGATGGATTACAAGCCTGCTCAGAGGTTACAGCGGCTGTGGTACCTTCCTGTCACCCTGTCTTGGTCAGCTCTAGCTGTATAACAAAATATTGTGGACTTAAGCCGTAGATGTTTGTTTTCCTGTAGCTCTGTGGGCTGTAATCCAAGGAGATATTCCTGTGGGGTTTGATTCCTGGTGAGGGCTCTTCTCCTGCTGTATGAAGGGTCGATTTCTTGCTGTGCCCTTGTGTATTTCTTCCTCAGGATATACCCATGAAGGGACTCTCGTCGCCTCCTCCTTTCTGTAAGACACCAACCGTATCACATCAGGATCCCATCCTTTCCACCTCACTCAGCTCAACAACCTCCTGCAAGTCCACAGACACAGTCATGCTGGGAGTGGGGGCTTCGATTCATCTTAGTCCATAGCAAGCTGTATCCCAAATTCCCCCGAAGAACAAAGCACACTTTCTATACACAGCAGAAGAACAACTTTCTTGACTACTCTACAAATTAGCTTCCCAGGCATCTAGTGCAGACTTTATTAGTTGTGATATATTTAATATAATGATGGTACAATGATGCATTATTGCTGTTTGATGAGGGGGAAATGCAATCGTGTTGTAGGTGTTTCAAGGTTTGGAATATGAAATTAGTCCTATAGAACCAATTTTTACCTAAAGTGTCAATTTTATAATAATGCATACACGGATCATTGTGGATCAGCAAATGAATAATTTGTAATTTAACTTGCATTTACTGATACGTGTACAATTTGTTCTAAAGTCCTAATGGGAAAGGTCAAGGCTACCATGATGACCTAAACACTAGATGGTACTTTACGAAACTAAGGCAGTTTCGCTGTTACCACCAATCTGAGTCACAGCAGGAAAGCAAACCGATGAGCTGATAAAGGCCCACTGCACCTGTCCTGGCAGGAACCGCACCTTTTCCTCCTTCGTGAATTATTAAGGTTGAGGAAAAGGAGTTGCTGTTCCAGAAATGGATGGACGCTGTCAGGCACCATGTTTCCTGCTCAACTTGGCTTGTCGTTGGCTCGGGGTTCTGCCTGGCATGTAGATGGAATGCAAGGTTTTAGAGATGATTAGACTATTGTTCAGAGGGTGCCTCATCTCCGGTGGCTTCTAGGACCACTTAAAGTCTCATCTTTAACCTCGCTTATCCTGTGCATTAAGGAAAATGTGGACCTGAATTCCAGGTACCAATTTCACGTCAAGCTGGTCTACAACGTAACCCGAGAAAAGTGCAGAAGCTGCAAAGGAAGGACAGTTCGGTGGCTGTGGTTGGCCGAGTCTGTGTCAGGCCTGACTGCCACAAGAGGTTGGAGCTGCCCCAGGGGATGTCTGCTCAACTGATGATTCTGTGAGCCCTTGCATAGAGCCAGCTCAGGAAACAGCCACACTGGGGGGCAGGCCAACACCCCAGCACTGCCAGTCTTGAGCTGAATCCACCTATAAACAGCGACAGGGTTTCCAGGAGCCCCTGCTTCCTTCTGATAAAATGAATTCATAACCTAAGAGACAGTCTCAGCCACACTGGCCCCACGGGGTTAAACTCTGAAGGGACCTGGATTCTCAGCACCTTAGGGAGACTGAGCATGCTCCATCACAGCTCCCTGTCCCCAGCATGGCCTCCTCCCCACCCGTACCCATCAGCTAATTCCACCCTTTTCATCACGACCTGGATTCCGTCCTGTCTCCCTAGGACGTGTGCTTCCAGAATTCTCATATTTTCAGAGTCTGCACCTTGATCAAGGTTCCAACCCCAGCTCAGTTTCCTGCTGTTTTTCTTTGTCCTAATTCTCAGAAGTGTGTTCCCTGCCAGGGTGTGTGACCATGGGCTCCACTCCTTCAGAAGAGGAAAACAAACAGCTGCCGCCCCCGGGAATATGTGTGTGAGTGTGAGTGTTCCTTACCATATTTCTACTCATTTACAGATTAACTGAGAATGGATTCAAGAAAAACCTGAAAGATCATGGAGGAACCACCCCACCATACACACACACACACACACACACACACACACACACACACACACACATACATACACACACACATACACATACACACATACATACACATACATACACACACACATACACACATACATACACACCCATACATACATACATATAAACACACATACACACACACACACACACACACACCCATACATACATACATATAAACACACATACACACATACACATACACACACACACACACACACACACACATATACACACATACACATACACACATACATACACACACATACACATACATACACATACATACACATACACACACATACACACACACATACATACACACACATGCACACACACATACACATACACACACATACACACATACACATACACACACACATACACACACATACACATATATACAAATACACACACATACACACACACATACACACACACATACATACACACACATACACACATACACACACACATACACACACACATACACAGAGAGAGAGATACACATGGTCCCTCCCACAGTCTCCCATCTCTCCATTCGCTCTATTTCCAGACCCCACTGTCATCAGCCAGCCTTATCTTGACCATGGATTTGATGAAGCCATGTTAACCTTGAAAGACCATGTCTCCCCCTGGCTGCCCCCCCCCCACACACACACACCCACACACTTCCACAGAATAAATAAAAACATTCGGTGTCTGGTCACTCATACACACATCAGCTGCTGGATCTGCTGCGCCCTGGCAGTTGGAACCGACGGCCTGTCACCCCAGTCACCATATCAGCACCCTGCTAGGACCTGGACCCTGTCTCTAAATGTTTGTTAAGATGACCCTAATTGTCCGGACTCCTTAGCATAGACATCATTACCAATGCCCTGGAGTTTTTACTCGGACTCTCACACCTCAGTCTGGCAGAGGAAACCCCCACAAAGGTGTCAGCCTGCCCTGTGGCCACTACCGAACGCTGATGGCTGGTCCTCCCTTCCTTTGTTCTTTTCACTTGTCAAGACTCCTCCCAAATGTGATGGAAAGATTAGATCTTCAAAAATTGCCTCACAACCTGAGATGATCCCTCTCCTCTAAATCCACTGTGAATAATGGCATCCGGCTCCTGGAACAATAGGAAATGTCCTGCTTCCTTGCACACAATCACCGTGGCAGGGTCACAGACTGGTTCTGTGGGTTTCGCTGGGACTTCCCCTGGGTTCTAATCAAGAAACTTTCTGGGTGCAGCGACACACACCTATAGGCCCAGGTATTCGGGAAACTGAGTCAAGAGGAATCCAGATTTTTAGGCCAGCATAGGCAGTAGATCAAGACCCTATCTCAAAAAGAAAAAAAAAAAAATAGAACTCCATTTCCCTTTTTATGGAGCAGGTGATCAATGCAGTATTTCTTAGAATAAGCAGCCACTTCTCTTATGGGCGTCTTCTTTCTCAAAGAAAACCCTAGAGTGTTAATAGGGGTGGTCCCACAGTAGAAACAGATAAAAGTTATCTAATAGCCCTGAACAATACATCTGTACCATTCCCTGTTAGGCTTGAGAAACAATCCAGAAAGGGAGGCAGAAAGAATGTAAGGAACAGAAGATAGGAAGCAGGCCTGTGAGAGTCTTCTAGTCAAAAGACAGCCATGACAATCACACACACACACAGAGAGAGAGAGAGAGAGAGAGAGAGAGAGAGAGAGAGAGAGAGAGAGAGAGAGAGAGAGCAGCCTCAGAGGCCTGCACTCGGTCTTCAGAACACACCTGTCAGCAGTAAGCATGAGAAAAAAAGGACCCAGGGGCCCATCCATGACTGAAGACTCCTGCTTACTGAGAGACTCAAGGAGCCATTGTTTCGGGTGTGTGCCCACTGGTGACCCTGCCAGGCTCTCATGGATAGTTCCGGTCCAGTCCTCAACAGATGGCCCTGCTTAAACTAAAGGGGTCACAAGTAAAACCTGCAGTCATGCTTCTGGGAAGGGGGAGGTAGGGGTGGGGAAGGGACATGGATATGGACTGTAAGGAGATAAGGGAGAATGGGAGGGGAAAGTGATCAGAATGCATCATATCCATGTGTGAAATTGATGAAGAACAAAATCAATCAGTAAAAACATAGCTGCTGTAGCTGTCCCAGCAGTTACAGTGTAGTGCCAGAAACATTAGCAAGAACCAACATTTCACTGACCCTGGGCATGATTCTGAATGATTGGCTCACTCTAATCCCCCTACGGCCTATGTTCCAGCAACATCATTTGACACCAGAGGAAGCAAAGGCAGAAAAATTACAATAATCATAAGGCTATGATGGGCATCGTGAAGTCGGTGACATTGTTTTGATCACTGTCATTCCTACCACCAACAGACAGAAATCCCGCTGCCTACCCTGCAGATGGTCTAGGCCCCACTTGCATCTGATCAAATGCTCAGCAGAAAGAAGCGTTCCACATAGTTGGTCTAGGAACATGTTTGGTCCCTTCCTGGTTGCTCTGCCATCATCTGGTCCCCTGGAGCTCTCTTTGGAGTACACCCTGCTGGTGGAGGATGAGATACTGGAAAATACAATGTCTCCTGTGTCTGATAGAAAACTGGCCTGATGAAAACGTGCTCAGAAGCCTGCATCAGGTGTGAGGCAAGGAAACAAGAGAATGGAGGTCCGTGCCCACCTGTCCAGGGTGGCCACCCACTCCCCATCCTGCCCCATGCCAACTGACATCAGCATAAATTAGACTAAGATGCCTCATGTTCCCAGGAACAGTCAGTCACCTGGCACTTCTAAGCCAGCCCCCCACTTTGACAACTAAACCAGGGAAGTAAGTCGGGGTGATGGCCACAAGGTGTGTGAATTTCCCCTGAGTCACTCATACTTTGGTCTGAAACAAACCCAGCCCTGACACACCACAAAGTCCTGACCTGGGCCGGGCATCCTGTAATATGAGCCGGCTTCTGAGTGCTAAGGTGGGTCTCACCCCTTTGGAGTCGAGTTCTGGTTCCCACCACACCTTGTTTGTTCACGAGGTCACAGAACCTTCCTGAAGTTCAGCCGGGCATAACAGGACTTATCTGACCATGGCTAGAGGTACTAAGGAAGAGAGGGGCCGAGAGGCAGGTACCCCACAGTGCTGACTCCTCCCTCCTCGACAGCCAATCACGTCCTGTGGATTTCAGGTTTTAGTTGGCTCCTCAGTCAGTCAATCTCTGAGGAAATTCCTTTCAGCCCTTTTCTGTTTGAAGACACTGCCATTCACAGCTGTTGTCTGGGGCACATCATCAATTCAGTATCT